GGGGTCGGAAGACTGGGCTGGACCCCAGGCTCGGCAAGCGAGCATAGATTTTTTCGTCTGTGAAATGGGCACGCGGACCCGGCCGTACCCACCTCACAGACAGGCTGCAGGGAGGCCGGCTCGGAGGGAAAGGGATCACGGCGGGTTACCTAAGGGTGGGCCCGGCCGCGGGGGGGCGGGAGCCGGGCTCGGGGGGCGCCTCCTTGGGGCTTCGGGCTTGCGGATCCGGCGGCGCGGGCCCATGGTTGGCGCTCAGGGTTGCGGACCGCGGCTCCTTCTCGGCCTTCCGGGTCCGGAGGCAGAGGCTGGGGTTCAGGGGAGGGCCAGCAGCGCCCCGGCCGCGTGCCCCGGCTGGGTGGCGTTCAAATTGCCCGCTCCGCCGCGGATTCACTGCCGGCGTTTTTTAAAAACCGAATCCAGCGACTCCCAGTGGCTGCCTCTGGAACGCTCCTGGCGCAGAGCGATTGCGGGGAGGACCAATGAGAGCACAGGATGAGAGGCTAACGGCGGCGGTGATAGGAGAAGACAGCGGGGACAAGGCGGATCGATGGTAGGAATCAGCCAATGGGGACTTGGAAAAGTGAAATGAGGCGGGAACTGCTCCATTCCTCCGCTCCCTGGGGCAGGACCGCATCTTTGATGCATCAGACCCAGGTCCTCCGGTGCTCTCTGGTCGACAAATGAAAGCTCGATTATGAAGATGTAGCTGGTGCGTGTGTAGAACGCGTTTCTCTAGACGAATCACCTTGCGCAAACATTTTATGTTTTGCTCTATCAATCTTGAGGTGGGTTTTAAAGATGAGGAGACGGGCCCACGGAGAATGTGACCGTCCCATGTCTCGCCTGAGACCAGGAGCAGCCCATGAATATGACTCAGAAGTCAGCTTCACTGCGTGAACCTTATTGATGATTAGGGTCCTGGGACAGCCAGGATGGGGCCTCTCACCATGAGGTCAAGCAGGGCAGGCCTCAGCTCTATTTTTGGATCATGCTCTCCAGCATTTTCGTAACAGGGAAATGACCCCTTCCCTTCCTGTTGGGGATAATATGTATTGAGGTCAAATGTAGAACTAGGTAGTTAGAATAAAGGGGATTTTATATTCTACACTTTTGTTTTTTTACATTATCTAGATGTTCTACAGTTAACATGCACTGTAATCAGGAAATATGTTACAAAATCAGTGATTTTATGGAACCCTTGTTCACTGCTGGTGGGAACGCAAAATGGTGCGACTACAGTGGAAAACAGTATGGCAATTGGTCAAAAAATTAAACACAGAATTACCATATGATCCAGCAAGTCCACTTCTGGGTGTATATTCAATTAAAAGCAGGGGCTTGAACAGGTATTTGTACACTAAGGCTCATAGCAGTGTTATTCACAATAGTCAAAAATGTCCAAGTGAATGAATAGATAAATAAAATGTGGTATATACATACAATGGAATATTATTCAGCCTTATGAAGAAAGTAAATTTTGATACATATTACAACATGGATGAGTCTTGAAGGTATTATGTTAAGCAAAATAAATGAAATACAAAAGGACCAATATTGTATGATTCCACTTACATGAGGTACCTAGAGTAGTCAAATTCATAGAGACAGAAAGGTAGGATGGTGGTTGCTAGGGGCTGGGGGAAGGGAGGAAAGGGGAATTATTGTTTAATGGGTACAGAGTTTCAGTTTGGGAAGATGAAAAAGTTCTGGAGATGGGTGATTGCACAACAAATGTGAATGTTCTTAATGCCACTGAATCGTACACTTAATAATGGTCAATACAGTGAGTGTTATGTTGTGTATATTTCACCACAATAAGAAAGAAAGAGAAAGAGAGAAAGAAAGAAAGGGAGAAAGAAAGAGTAGAGGAGGGGGGAAGGGAAAGGGGGGGAAGGAAGGGAAAGGGGGGGAAGGAAGGGAAAGGAATGTTTGGTTGAACCCATTGAGATGCAGTCAAATCACAGAAGGATAGTTGTTTTTCAGTGACACAGAGGCAAGAAGTCCTACTACACCAGTCCTCAGGACCCATTAATCAGACATAGCAAATCTTCACTCATTAATTCTGCTTTAGACCTAGAGTGCCTTCTTTGCTCCATTAGAAATAAGTAGAAAACAAAGGTAGAAAATAGAGGGGTGTTTTTTTTTTTTTTTTTTTAAGATTCCACATGTAAGGGAGATCATACAGTATTGTCTTTCTCTGACTGACTTATTTCACTTAGCATAATGCCCTTGAGGTTCATCCATCTTGTTGCAGATGGCAACATTTCTTTCTTTTTATGCCCGAATAATATTCCATTGTGAATATATATATATATATATATATATATATATATACACATATACATACCACAATTTCTTTATCCGTTCATCCATTGCTGAACACTTAGGTGTTTCCAAATCTTGGTTATTGTAAATAATGCTGCAATGAACACAAAGGTGCATATATCTTTTCAGCTTAGTGTTTTTGTTTCCTTTGAATACCCAGAAGTAGAATTGCTGAATCACATGGTCGTTTTATTTTTAATTTTTCCGGGAACCTCCATACAATTTTCCACAGTGGCTGCACAATAGCGCACAAGTCGTCACTTTTCTCCACATCCTCCCCAAAACTTATTTCTTGTCTTTTTGATAATAGCCATTCTAACAGATGTGAGGTGATATCTCACTGTGGTTTTGATTTGCACTTTCCTGATTAATGATGTCGAGCATCTTTTCATGTCCCTGTTGGGCATCTGTATGTCTTCTTCGGAACAATGTCTATTCAGATCATTTGACCATTTTTATTTTATTTTTGGCTGCGCCGCAGGATATGTGGGATCTTAGTTTCCTGACCAGGGATCGAACCCGTGCCCTCTGAATGGAAGTGCGGAGTCTTAACCACTGGACCGCCAGGGAAGTCCCCATTTGCCCATTTATAAATCGAATTATTTGTTCTCACCATTGAGTTGTATGCATTCTTTATATATTTTGGATATTAATCCATGATCAGATATATAATTTGCAAATGTTTTCTCCCATTCAGTAGGTTGCCTTTTTATTTTGTTGATGGCTCCCTTTGCTGTGCTGAAGCTTTTTAGTTTGAAGTGGTCCTACTTATTTATTTTTGCTTTTGTTGCCTTTGCTTTTGGTGTCAGATTAAAAAAAACATTGTCAAGACCTATGTCAAGGAACTTGTTGTTTTCCTCTAGCAGTTATATGCTTTCAGGCCTTATGTTCAAGTCTTTAGTCCACTTTGAGTTAATTTTTGTGTATAGTGTAAGACAGTGGTCCAGTTTTCCCAACACCATTTACTAAAGAGACGGTTCTTTTCCCCATTGTATAGTCTTGGCTCCTTTGTCATAAATTAATTGACCATGTATGTGCAGGTTTATTTCTGGGCTCTCTATTCTGTTCCATTAATCTATGTGTCTGTTTTTAGGCCAATACCATACTGTTTTAATTATTAAAGCTTTGTAGTCTAGTTTGAAATCAGGGAATGTGATGCCTTCAGTGTTGTTCTCCTCTCTCAAGATTGCATTGGCTATTTGGGGTCTTTTGTGGTTCCTTACAAATTTTGGATTTTTTGTTCTATTTCTGTGAAGAATGCCATTGGAGTTTTGTAGAATTGAATCTGATAGGCATTGAATCTGTAGATTGCTTTGGATGGTATGAACATTTTAACAATATTAATTCTTCCAATCCATGAACGTGGAATATCTTTCATTTGTGTCTTCAATTTCTTTCATTAATGTCTTGTAGTTTTCAGTATACAGGTCTTTCGCCTCCTTGGTTAAATTTATTCCTGGGTGTTTTATCTTTTTGATGCAATTGTAAATGGGATTGTTTTCTTAATTTCTCTTTCTGATAGTTTGTTAGTGTATATAAATGCAACAGATTTTTGTGTATTGATTTTGTATCCTGCAACTTTACTGAATTTGTTTTTTAGTTCTAACAGTTTTTTGATGGTGTCTTTAAGGTTTTCTATATATAATATGTCATTTGCAAATCGTGACAGTTTTTCTTCCTCCTTTCCAACTTGGATCCTTTCCTTTCTTTCTCTTGCCTAATTGCTTTATCTAGGGCTTCCAATACTATGTTGAATAAAAGTGGCAAGAGTGGGAAAAACTGTCTCATTCCCAATCTTAGAGTTAAAGCTTTCAGCTTTTTTTCATCATTCAGTGTGATGTTAGCTGTGGGCTTGTAATATATGGCCTTTATTATGTTGAGATACATTCCCTCTATACCCACTTTGTTCAGAGTTTTTATCATAAATGGATGTTGAATTTTGTCAAATGCTTTTTCTGCATCTATGAGATGATCATACGATTTTTATCCTTTATTTTGTAAATGTGGTGTATCATACTGACTGATTTGCAGATGTGGAAACATCCTTGCATCTCTGGAATAAATCCCACTTGATCATGGTGAGAGGTAACATCACTTGTCCAAAGCCACCCAGTGGAGGGAGAGATGGAGCTGAGGACACGTATCTCTGGCTCCCCCTAAACCACATGGCTGTTTGCTCCAATCCTCCTACTGTCCTCTGATCTCCTTGAGTGCTGTTTGCTTGTTAAAGTACAGAGAGCTTTGGACAGAGCAAAGGCAAATGGAACCACCTGGCATGGTCCTAAACCTCTTGTAGGCAGCAAGCCTGAGGGCTACTCCAGGACCTGGATGGCAGTCCTGGAGGACACCCCAGCCCCAGAGTCCCCCAGGACCACTACGAATGGGGCAGGAACTGGTCAGTTCACTACAGTGCAGATGGTCTGAATTACACTGTATTTGAACTGATGTTTACAGAAGTCTGTTATCAGTCAGTTCTAATTTGGGGTCCAGGGCCCCATTATTCCACTCAGAGCAGTAGGCCACAGCTACAGACATTCCTCACAACCCTCTAGACTCCGCAGGAGTGGAGATTCTTTCCCCCTCCACCCCCATTACCAGCATGACACGGCATGGCCTCTCAAACTCACCCTCCGAAGCACCCCAGACACTAGGACAGAGAGGACACAACTCCAGGGTCTGGAAGGGTACTTAGGGTCAACATAAAAATTTTATGAGGCATCCTGTTTTATCTTATAATCGATGCGAAGTTTACACTCTACTCCACAATGGTATGTTCTAACAAAACATTTCTCCCCCTCTGAGCAAAACCGATGCTCCACACCGTGGCTCTGCTGGGACTTCAATGCCTGACAGACCACCCTAGTGGGCAGTGCCGCCTTGCAGGACGCTCCACTGTACGTTGGCATTTACAGCCACCTTCCATTTATATCGTAGGTAATATTCACAGCCATCCTGTGAGATGCAAGCTTCCCCATTTTAGAGATGTGAAGACCCAAAGCTCCAGGAGATAAAGCAAGTTGCCCGAGTGGGTGGCAGGCCTGACCATAAGTGCCCTCCCCATCCTCTGCCACCTCTCACCACTGAAGTCCCATTATAATCCCCCCCAACCCTTCAATGCTAAAATCCACATGTGATTTCTATGCTTTGGTACCTTACAGCTTTTCCATCCAACGTTCTAGACGTTACCTCCAGGAATGTCCTAACCCTTGTGCTCCTTCCCTCTTATTAAAGAAAAAAGTCCAAACTGCCAACTCCCCTCTTCTTTTTAAAAATAAAAAGCCTGAAACAACACTGTAAGGCCCCAGTTTTTTGGACGCACCACCCTCGATCTCCATTTCCTTCTTCCTGTGACACACACCACGGCCCAGAGGAGGTCAGGGCCCCCCGAGACTCGGAGCTGGTGGGATGGAGAGGCCTTTCTCTCCCGACGGTAAGAACCTGCTGGATTCCCACAGCCCGAGGGCTTTGCTTGTCAGAGATCCCTTCTCCCAGGATCTATTCTAAGGAAGGCATTCGGTATTTGTTTCACGATTGAGCTGCCCAGGAAAGCGATCTGCCAGAGCGAGGACCACTGGAATAAAGGGCCGCTCAGCAACCTGGGGTCCCTGCTACCAGGCCCCTCTTTTCAGGGTGGGGTTACTGGGAGGATAACAGCACAGGATGCCTCTCTCCCAGCCACAGGAAGTACCCCCAAAGATCTCAGAGACTTTATGGTAAGTAGGCCCACAGGTTTGGAATCAGGCAAACCCAGCTTGAAATACCGGCTCCAAGAGGAAGTCACTTGACCTTCTCTGGGCCACACCTTTCTCACCTGCATCCACCTGTGCAGGCTGTTACGCAGGAGAATGAAAGCTAAGCACTTAACATAACGCCTGGGATACCAGCATCACTACCAACGGTAGACTCCCGGTAAACCCACCACCTTGGAGGGTTCTCCATGGTGTCTGTCGGGTTGCTGGGGGTGACGCAGAACCCCAGACGTGCTCTACAACCCAACCGACTGCCTGGTCGTGTGGCTGCACGGCCAGAGCCCGTGGCAGGAGAGCACTTTTGCCAAACAACTTATAACTCTGGGACTCAAGATTGCTCATCTTTAAAATGGAAGGTGAAGAGTTCATAAAAGCTATTATCAAGGGCTGCCCTGAAATCCCCCTGTAACTTCTCCCAGGTGGGGAGGACTTCAAGGTGTGAGCAAGGACGCCAGAGCAGGCGTGGGGAGGAGCGACGTGGGCAGGGGGCATCTTCAATCAACGGGCTGTCACTCCTTCCCCAGGTTGGTCAAAACCACAGGCCTGCAGAATGGGCCCAGTTGGGCCCAAGGCACGGAAGCCACACCGTGGACACCTTCTGCAGAGCAGGACGCCAAGGCCCGGAGTGACCAGGTACAGGGCTGGGGAGCACACACTGAGTTTGCGGCAAGGCCCTGGCTGAAACCTCCGTTCCCAGGCAGGGTTAGGGAGTATCTTACAAGTTTTAGAAACTGTGGTGCTTAGTTCTATTAGAATTTGCTCAGTGACCTCTCTTCTTGGGAGAACCATATTTAGCCTATGATTTAGGAGGAAACCCTAGGGCTGTTGGTTCCTGCAATTCTACTCCATGATTTAGCTCTAGTGTTGCAGGAGGGGCTGGGGAAGCCTGCTGGGGGTCGGGCACTGCACTCAGGCCTGAATGGGGTGGTGACAAAGGAGGACCTGGGTGTTGTGTCATCTTCTGTGGCAGCAGCTGCCCTGGGTGGGTGGGGGGGTGTCTGTGGGGAGGGGGCAGGGCGAGGCCTCGGGGGCAGGGCATTTGAGGTTCACCAGCCCACGTGGCCTCAGCCTCGGGGTGAACAAGGAGCGTCCAGGTGGCAGCAGAGCAGGAGGCTCAGCTGGCATCGTTGATGGCAGTCCGAGGGCCCCCCAGCAGTCTCTCATGCTCGCCCTCCTCTGCCGGGGGCCGGCCCCTGGACAGGCGGCTCAGTAGCAGGCGGTGCAGCCCATTGTAGAGGGCTGTGCCCGTCAGGAGGATGAGGAAGCCAAGGATCTGCAGCGGGTGGAAGGCCTCCCAGCCCAGCGTCAGGCTCACTGCCCAGATGACAATGGTACGCAGGCTGTCCAGCACCATTCGGGTGGTGGCACTCAGTTCCTTGGTGACACTGATGCCGGCAAAGTTGAAGAAGGCGATGCTGCTGATGTTGCCCAGCAGCGCCAGCGCGATGAGTGGCTGTCGGCCCACCTGGCAGAAGGCGTCCAGCGCGTCCTCCAGCGTCCCGCGAGGGTTTCCACTGAAGGAACCGGCAGGGATGTAGTACATGGGCACCAGCAGCAGGGAGAGGATCACGAAGCCAAAGAGGCCTGCGGGAGTGGAGGGAGCACGTCACGCTCTCCGCTGGGCCCCCAGCCCCGGCAGCGTGCCCCGGCCCACCCAGCCGGGCTCCGCTGACCTCCCAGCCACCCCTCCGAGTCGCCCTCGCACCAGCTCCTTCCTTCCAGTTCCTGGAGCCGTTCTGCTCATTAGGAACTACAACGGCCTAGTGAATGGGCTCTGACGGCCCCATTTCCACTTTAATCCGCGTCTTCTGACCGGACCAAGAATAGGAAATACATTTTATATTGTGACCAGTGCACAGACATGTACACACACTCTCACAAAACGACAGCTACCCTTACAATGTACAATGCTCTCTGACACTTTTTAAACTCAATTCTATTCATTGACAAAAGGATTGCTGGCTGCGAGCACGACACTGCTCTCACAAGTGTGGAAAAACGGCTCTCTAGCTCAGCGCTGTCGGTGCGTGACAAGGAGCTGGGCCAGAATGTAAATCAAGGCACTGCTTCCCTCAGGAAGTCCTGCTAGGAAAAAAAGTGAGTGGAAGCCATCAGTACGCCTGATGACACAGCTGATTTAGGCGGTTAACGTTCTGCCGTAAGCCCTCAGCTCACGGTGCAACAGGCACCACCAGCTCCCCGACAAGCCCGTAGGTCACGCTTCGGTAGCACTGCTCTAATCCGCCCTGCTAGTCCCATAATTTTAAAGCCTCATTTTGACTTACTTCCCTGCTCAGAAACCTTTGGCGGCTCTTCCCTGCCTGTCATTTAAAGTCTAAATCCGCTTGCCTGATGTTCCAAGGTTCTCCAAGATATGACCCTGACATATTCAATCCCTGATCATTTCCCCTCATCAAACCTGTACCTCCGCCAAACTACTCCTCACTGGTTTCCAAACTCACATCCAGCTCCCCACGTCTCCACTCTGCCTGGAGTTCCCTCCTGTCCATTCTTGCTTCCTGAAATCTGTAGTGCTAACGCCACCTTCCCTGGGCCATGACACTCAGATATGCTTGGCAAGTGAAGCGTCACTTGAGTAAAAGCGGGCCGAGCTAAAACGCACTGCCTGCTCCTTTCCTGCTGGTCGGCTCCTCCAGAGCGGGGCTTGCATCTCATTCATCTTCGTCCCTGTCCTCCCTTAGCTCCTGGCTGAGTGCACGGCAGCTGTCAGGGTATTTATCAACACGAGCATGATGAAGGGAGCGAGGAAGGAGGGCGGGAGGCTCGCCCTTCCCAGAGGCCCCAGGCACCTCGCCAGGCGCCCTCACTGCATCCCCTCGACGTGCCGCCCCACAGGGCGCACTCCACCCAGCGCCCTCCTGCCAGCCTGTGTTCACACGCACCCTCAGTGCCGACTGCCCGCAGTGGGTGCACGTTGTGCTTGTAGACAAACTTCTCCTCCAGCACCATCTGGATGGAGACGATGATCTGGGCCATGATGATCAGCAGGTCCCCTGTGGGAAAGGAGGGGCCCAGAGTGAGGCCAGGCTGAGGCAGACATCTCAGCCCATGGAAACCTAAGAGCCCCTGCAGCCCCTTCCTCCGCAGGGCACTGTACAGTCCACGAGGTCCGGCCACGACAGGCCCCGCACCTGACCTCCTGGCCCCTGAAGGGTGAGGCAGGCCACCAGGGAAGGCACTGTCAGCCCCTCTGGGCTAAGGCTCCAGAAAGTCCAGGGGTCTGCCTGGGCCTGAGGGCTGCACAACTGGGGTAAGCAGGTCTTTTGAGAAGCAACAGGCTCTGAGATGGACATTTCTGGTTTAATCCTGCCATGCGTGAGCAGGGTGGCCACTTCACTGTAAAATGGGCTGCAGTGTGTCCTTTCCGGGACCGTGAGGATGAGTGATGACGAGCACAGCGCGAAGCGCTGGTTGCGTGCTCGGTAAGTGCTCAGTCAACATTCATTCCTTTCCTCTTCCGGATCCTGCAGTCTGTGTGGCTGTAAGTACACTGCAGAACTAGCCCTCTCCTTCCTCGGACCTCCCCGCTCCTCACCCACCTCTCCCTCACGCTGCTTGTCCCCTGCTGGTCTTCCCTACACTCTTCCCATCACCTGGGAAGCAGGTGCATGTCCACATCAGCTGGTGGCCCACGTGCCCTCCCCCAGGGCTTGGCGGACAGCGGAGCTTGTAAAATGCTTTGTCGAGTGACTCTGTGCTGGGCAGCCCCGGGATGCCCACCCCGGCCACACCTGTGATCACTTCGCTGAGCTTGTGCTGACTGTCGTTCCTGCTCAGGAGGTCAGCCAGGCCCACGACCACCAGCCCTGCGATGGTCGCGAGGATACCCAGCCACTGGCTCAGTGCCAGCCTCCGTCCCAGGAAGGTCACCGAAAACAGGCCTGTGAATATGATCACTGCTCCCCGCAGCATCTGGAAGCTGGAAGCACTGGTCATGTTCAGGGCTAGGAGAGGAGAGACACATGACGTTAGCTCCTAAGGGCCCAGCCTGTCTGTTCACTGAGGTGTCCTCAGGGCTGACAGGGCTGGCACGTGGTAAGTACTCAGTAAACCTTGGTTGGGGGCGTGTGTGTAAAGGTCGGTGGGAGGGGGCGGGGGGAGCTGCAGATGAGCTGGGGGTGGCTCTTTCCCAGCAGCTCCCTTGGGCCCAGGCTTCGCTGAGCCCTCGGCAGCCTGGCTTGGCTACTCACCCACATACATGATGCTGGTCGCGGTCATGTCGCAGAGGGCTGGGGGCAGGAAGAGAAGGGGGTTGAAGGGCTGCTGGGGATCCATGCTGGTGTCTGGGTGCCCTGCAGCTCTGCACAGGAGTAGGTAGAAGGCAGCCAGGCAGAAGAGCTCCCCCAGGAACATGCCCACTGCCTGCAGGGACAGAAACGGGACTTCAGAGCTGGAAGGAAGACCACCTATAACAAGGGTTTTTGTTTTTTATTTTGGCCGTGCTGCACAGCTTGTGGGATCTTAGCTCCCCGACCAGGGATCAAATCTGTGCCCTTGGCAGTGAAAGCATGGAGTCCTAACCACTGGACCGCCAGGGAATTCTCTGTAACAAAATTTTTTAAACATAACCTTTCTTAACGCAAGAGTTTACCTATAACCCCAACATGTAAGAGAGACAAAAGCAGACCTGCTCTGTGTGGGAGGCCAGAGCCTGCCTCCTAGGTCTACCCCTAAGCTCTTCAAACACCTCGACGGAAACTCTAAGGCCATGTAGAGCCTGATCTGAAAACCCACCAATCTAGACCAATCCCTGGTCATGTTCCAATGGAGAAACTGAGGCCCCGAGAGGCTTGAGAACTTATATAAGGTACCTTCCATTGATGGTGTCTGCCCCGCCCCAGTGGGGTCTGGGCTCCCCGCGGTTGGGGAGCATGTTTTACGACAGGGCTGGATTGTTCCAAATGTGTCCTGACTTGGCCATGGTGAGGGCTGGCCTCAAGGAGTCCGGGGCATGAGCGCTCACCAGGACTTGTGCAGGCTTCCTACAGGGGACTGTGCCTTCTGCCCGCTTCCAGGGGCACCTCACACCCTGGCCTCTGTTCTGGGAGGGAGAGAGAAGCAACTGGCTCTCCTGAGAGCAAGGGAGGACTCCCCCAACCCAGGTTAGCAAACAGCATGGCCTCGTGGGGGCCCCTGACCTGAGGCCTGGGAGACGGAGATGGGCGAGGACAGGCACAGATACCTGGAGGAAGGGATGCTGGAAGCTGTGCTCCTGGCTCCCTCCGCAGCCTGGGGCCACGAAGTTGTCCGCCCACCTGCAGCAGACAGAGAGAAGGTCAAACCCTGCAGTGTGGCAGCGCGCTCTCCCACCCGGTCCTGGGGCCTGCAGAGAGCTCACACCTCCTGGCCAGACTTAGCGGACTCGGCCCAGAGCGGGACTCCCTCTCGGAGGGACCAGTCTCCACGGCAAGGATTCCCCTGGGATGGCAGACAGAACGCGGGGGCCTGGGACCCTTTAGCTGAAATTTCATGAACCTCTAACAGAAATTTAGCATTTCCTCCATTTATGAGTGTAGTATTGCAGTACCTGCGACTTTGTCACACACGGAAATCACAGCTCTTCTCATTATCACATTTGAGTCACTGCAGATACTGTGAAGTATTATTTACACTCATCACTGCTCCAAAATTACAGTAATTAGACCCACTGCTTACTATTTCATGTGTTAAGAAGCGCATGCACACATGTATGTTACTATTTCACAAACTGGCTTGTTTAATGTCTTGATAACTTTATTTCAATACAATTAGCTTTTTCTGTAATCCTTGGTCTTTTATTTGCACGTTTTAAAACACTACTCTAGGCTTCACCAGACTATCAAAGGGACCCATATCAAGAGTCCCTGGTCTACAAGGTCACGTGGGCCCTGGGAAATGGCCACCTGACACAGACCACCCGGTCACCTTCCCATAACCTGAAGGATCTGGAGGGTTTTCTCTAGCACTGGCTCGGAAGCCAGTGGCAAGTACGTGGCGCTTGTGGAGTGGGTGCCAGCCGGCACCCCGGCAGATGGGCCTCACTGATTATGGCACGCTCCCCGCCGAGCCCAGAGTCCGTCACGGCACAGCGCTCTGGGCAGCTACCGCCAACCATTTTGCACCTACCAACCTCTGTCGCTAAAACTTCTGCCTCTGAATTTCACTTTCGCTGGCCTTAGTTATGTCCCTGGGAATCTAATCTCTCTTTCATTGGAAAGCCCTTCATATATATGGAGCCTTCCCCACCTTCTGAACTTCTGGTTAAGCAGCCCCGGCCCTTTCACTGCCCTGGCTGGTCCCCACCTTCGGAATCTTCTCCTGGTTAAGCAGCCCCGGCCCTTGCTAACCTTTCACTCCCCTGGCTGCTGACTTCAGGAAGCACTCTGGTGGGCCCAGGCCCAGAGCCAAGGGCACGTGATCCGGCCCAGACTGAGTCGGGCAACGGGGCGGCCCCGCCCACGTGTTGGACACCCTGGTTAGCTGACCTGGCTTGGACTGCACGCGCCACATCACACTGCTGACGCAAGGCAACGCAGACCCAGGGCCGCTTGCAGTGGGCCACTGACCTGCCCCCGCTGCAGCAACCCCACTCGTAGGCGGTGGCGGTCCCTAAAGTGTAAGACTCGGGACTTCTTCTTAAATGTCTTTCCTCACAATGTCTGTCCAGAGCAGCTACGTGGTGGGCCCCACCCCATCTGCTGGCTCCTCTGTGCACAAGCTCAGCTCCCAGAGCGCAGGGAAGCCTTCTGCTTCCTGTGCCCCAAGCAGGGGCCACTGCTCATGCCAAGCGGTGCAGGTCTGGGTTTGACAAAGATCCTGTGCAGGCGGGGCTTCTCTGTGCCTGAGTCTGAGGAGGGGAACAGGGAGCTCTTTCCCACAGCCCGGGGCAAGTGGGCAGGCGGTGGGAAGGGCGGGCTGAGCGCTGGTGGTAGCACAGACCTGGAGGGAGAGATCACGTCTACAAAGATCTGAACACATCCCAGGGCAAGTGAACAAAACAGGACTATGGCAAACTTATCTCAAGGTAGGAGACCCCACCCACTCCCACAGTGAGGAGGGAAGGTAGGAGGGCTTCTGGTGCTTGGGAATGGTGGAGGTCAAATGAGAGCTGATGGGCAGCTAGAAGTTCTGATATGCCTGGTTGGGAAGGCAGAGGAAATCTGGGTCAGGGGATCAGGCTGGAACCAGACCCAGTAGCAAAGGGGCAAAGATAATCCCCATCAACGACAGAAACCACCTGTTCTCTGGGGTCTCATTTCTGCCCGATCTGCTGTAGATTGCGACTCTGGGATCCCCAGGCAGGGCAGGACAGGACAGGACGTGGGATGTGGGTGTGGGACACATACCACCTGTATGGCTCACCCAGCTTTGGCCTGCTCTCCAGCCAGATTCACTTTCACAGACAGAGCCCTCTGGGAGGGGCTGGGTGAGGTAGCCGAGCAAAAGAGAGAAGCGAAGGAGAGCAGAGAGGTCAAGCTTTACCAAGGGCGCAGAAACACCTGCCCTGGAGTGAGTGAGCAGGTCAGAGAGAGATTTCCCAGGGCTCCTCCAGGAGGGACAAGGGAGGTCCTGCCAAGTTCATGGTCAACCAGAAGCCTAGGGCAAGGGCTGGTATGGAAGCCCCTTCCCCATCCTGGGGCCACATCCAGAGCACAGACTGGCAGGCTCAAGACCCCTGATGTAGCAGTGGGGCCACCTCCTGAACTCCCCCTGGGCTACTGCCTGTGCACCTTACAGTCATGACAACTCATATCTGCATCACCTTCTGGTTCCATAGTCCTTGTCACTTGAGAGGCTGTGAGCTCAGCATCCAGCAACGTCCACAGCTTTCAATCCCCTGCTCCTGGCACATCATTATACAGAAGTTCAAACATTTTTTTTTGTTGTTGAATGAGTGGGACTTCCAGACACCGCTAGACAAATAGGCAGGTACTATAGTCCAAAGGCAATGTATCCATGACTGCTAATTTGCCATCCGGTCTGAGGTGTCCCCTGCTGGTGGGACCAGCTGGGCCTGCCCTTCCCCAGGGAGGGGCACTGCAAGGGGAGCAGGCTGTAGGGCTGGTGCTAAGCCTCCTCCCCTCCCCCTGCGCTGCCTGCTTCCTCCAAGGGGTGGGTCTGCCTGAACAGGCAGGGCTGGCAGGTTCCCAGCACGGGAAATGGAATCTTTTTGTATCTGAGTGCCTGGGGCAGGTTTACACCCCAAGGGTTTGGGTGTCAGGACAGGCTGCCTGCCCTACCCAGACTCTTGGCCAGGCAGGAGTTCAGGCCTGCAGTCACTTTGGGATAGAGTCAGGCTTCTCATCTTGGCCCTGGGAAAGGTCTGCCTCACTGTGCAGTCACAGCAGGACCCCAGGTAGCACAGGACAAGAGCCAAAAGCCAGACCCCGTTCATCTGGGGGAGAAAGCAATCACTCCCCAGTGGGACAGCACTTATCTCTGCAAAACGCTTCCCTAACATGTGTTTACGAATGCACCACTCGCTGTGCACCGACCTTGTCCCAGGCCTGTGCTTCTCCCTGAGGAGCCTGAACACTTCACGCGGGCTGTGTGGTTTAGGCCTCACAACAACGGTCCGCATTTTACAGGCAGGGACTTCAGACCTTGGGGTGGAGAGGGCCGTGTTCAGGCTCATAGTTAACAGTGGGCGGATCTAGGGCCGAACCCATCTGCTTGCACTTATTTTCAGAAAAGGCAGCAGGACACACGGAAAGCCCAGACTTCTGACTCTCACAGGTTGGATGAGTTATAGATTTCTCACCTATAAGTCGGGGATAATAATGCCAACACTGATGAATTGGCAAAAGTAATAAGACATATAAGACCTGGCATGTGGCAGCGGGTCACTAAAAGTCCTTTGCTGCCCCTCTTCTCCCTCTCTCTCCTCTGCTGAGCAGGAACCACTTCCCCTTGTGTTGGGTGGGTGTGGCCCCAGCTCTGCTCCAGCCTGAAAGCTTCCGGGGAGAGTATCCATCCTCTGGGACCCAGCCTGCAGGCTGACGCAGAGGCACCCGGAGGGCCACAAAGTGCTGAAAGAGGAGAACAAACTCAGCCATCATCTCGGGAAGCTCCTTGTTTGAGAGACGAGAAACCCAGGGACCAGACAGGGCTTGAGGGACACAGGGAAGCGCTAGTACCCAGGAGCAGCACCCCCTGTTCAGTGCTCCGTCCTCAACACCGATCACCTTCTTACTCAGGATTCTTCCCACCCCCCTGGCTGAGGCGGGGAAAAGGTCAGCCCTGCAGATGGGCCCTCCATTCTCTCTGGACACTATATCCTGGGGAAAGCTGTGGTCTCTAGGGCAGGAGGCCTTGGGGACCCACATGAGGAAGCGCCCTGCACTGGCAGAGGCGGGCTTCCTTTAGAGTTCCCTGGGCCTTGGAGGGCTCCGGGTGGGCTGCCCTTACTAGGGGCGAGTCACTCTGGCGTGGCCTTGCTCAGTAAGCTCAAAGCTCAGCGTTCCAAGGGGTGTGCGCGTCTGTGTGGGACCAGGGGTGGCGGTCAGAAGCTGAGGAAGTGGTTGATGCGGCTGCCTCGGGCCGATTGGCTGTGTGTCCATATTCCCCACAGAATCTATGCCATTTCCGCTCTCATCCTGGGCCTGTTAAGCCCAGTGAGTCAGCTTCTTTCTCTGGCTTGTAATCTTCAGAAGGGCCCCAGGGCTTCTCTACTCTCCCGGGTGTCATAGCAGGTGGCCCTGGCTCACGTGGTGATAAATGATGACAGCCCTCCCTCTCTTAAGTATTAGGTAACTCTCCTCAGTAGATCTTACAAGGAGTCTGGGAAGAAGGTGGGGCAGGGATTATCACGCCCACTTTATAGATGAAAGGGAGGCTTGGAGAGGCCCAGTGACTCATCTAATCTCATAGCTTCCAAGCCTCATGCTCTTTTCCGCTGCTACACTGCCCTGCTGGTTTAAGGCTTTCTCCAGCTGGCCCGAACCCCTCTGAAGCAATTATCCCGTGCCCACTTTGGGAACCTATGGGTGGGGGAGGGGCAGCGGCCAAGGCAAAAGTTAGAGCTGGCGCAGGAAGGACAGTGAGCGTCCTCCCCTAAAAGAGGCCCAGTGATCGCAGGCCTCCTGCCACCTTCCTGCAGGCTCCCCGGACCCAGTGGGCCTAACTGCTGGAGAAATGACCCCCATGGCCCCTTCGTGGCTAGGTGGGCTGCACAGCCTGCAGAAGTTTAGGAGGGGATGTGAGCCTTCCTGAGTGAGCGTCTACTTGACCCTGGCTCTTTACGTGCAGAACCCCAGCTGGATTCAGGACGGTGGGGCTCCGAAACGTGCACTGGTTCAGGCAGACAGCCCCACGCGGTGCCAGAGGAAGGCAAATGCTTGGTCTCCGGGAAGTGCATCAGCAGAAGCCTGGTGAGGGGGAGAAAGCAGGCACAGAAAGGAGAAGGGAGGGACCTTCTGCCCACACCCAGGGACGAGGCTACAGGGCCAGCCTGATTGGTGACTTTCCCTCCGGGGGGGTAGGTGATCTCCAGCCCCAGCCCAGCCCAGCCTGGCCAGGCCGGCTCCCTGCAGCACACCCAATCCTGCTGAGTGGGCAGTGACCTCCTGCAGCGGACAGCTGACCTGTGATCCCAGCACAGGAGCAGCACGTGCTCACGCCCACTTCCTCATCCACTGTCTCCAGTCCGCCCAAGCAGCCGGGGAGGGAAACATTATGCTCATTTTACAGGCCAAGAAACTGCAAGAGGCTACTAGAGACTCTATCCCTGAACCCTGAGTGATCTCTGGGATGGACGCTTCAGATGCTTGTCACCCAGTCCCAGAGGGAAGGCACCCCGATGGCAGGGAGAGGAGATGCCACTTATAGGATTACAACTTCCATGGGCACATGCTTGTCTGTTCTTGCCTGCAGAGATATAAGAGGAAACCCCCAAGGAAGAGGGAGTTTTGGGTACTGTAGCTGTAGAAGACCAGCACTGGACCCAAATCCTGAGACCTAGGTTCTAGACACCAACCAGCTGAGTCACACACACACGAAACTTCTCTTGGGACCTTGACTGTAAGCTGTGGGGATGAGAATGGATAATTTCTATGTTTCTAACAACTTTAAATGCCCCTAAGGATGACTAGAGAAGTCCCCAGCCTCACCCATAGTGGAGGTTAAGAGCATGGATTCTAGAGCCAGACTACTTAGGCTCAAATACAAACTTTGCCACTTAATAGCTGAGTTGAACTTGGGTAAGCAAGCCCCTCTTTCCAGAACCTCAGTTTCCTTATCCAGGGACAAGGAATTTATCTACCTCATAGGGTGGTTATGAGAATTCATTAACTTAACTCATGAAAGGCAGCCAGGGCAGGACGTGGCACGTGGAGCTCTCTGTGTATTAACTGGTTAGCACTTGCTGTGGTCACATTCTCGTCTGTCTGTCCCTGCCAGAAACTTCAGGTCAGAGTGTGATTTCAAATCAGTAATCTCCATCAGGATGTACACAGCTGCTCTCCCACGTTCTTCCTCTGAGAGCGTCCTTCTCACAGTCTGATCTTAGAACACTGTTTAGGGTCCAATACTGGGGCCCATCACAGGCAGGGAGGCTCCTAAGAGGCCCCACATCAGGCCACAGGGCAGGGGACAGGACCAAAGGTTGCGATCACACCTGGGCACCTCTTTCTGGCCTCTCAGGCAGCCTCCAAGGGCAAGGCGTCCTGGGGCTGAGGATTCCCTGGCTTCTTACCTGACCGGTCTGGAGCTTTTTCTGGAAGGAGCTGAGTCAGCACAGTTTACCTCAGTAGGTAACTCAGCTCTCCTTGTGGACAGCGGCCCTGGCAGACCACAGCCACCCTATAAGCACCAGACTGAGGCCTTGGCTTGTGGGACGGATGGACAGATGACTTGCTCTGCTGCAGTCAGATCCTGAGATGGGAGCCCTCAGGTTGAGTTTCCTTTATAGCTAAGGGCTCAGCAAAAGGAGTACCCTTCAGAAGGCCTCAGGGCCCGGGAGCCCAGCACAAGACGCAGACACAGCCGGCCAGAGCCCAACCAGAGAGACAGGTGGGCCTTACCCAGAGGTCCACCTCCTGTGGAGAAGGGAGGACACTGTGATTGCCAAGCGTGTACACATCTGTCTCCTATGCTGCAGATTCTAAGCATCTCAAAGCCTGGGACCTTCTCTCGGTCACTTCTGTCTCCTTCCCTAGGTCTAGGCAGTGCCTCACACACTGTAAGGACCTTATATATGCCTGATGAATCGAACAGGACCCAGACCTGGTACTTCTCTCCCAGACCTCTCTTCTGGGGCATTTCTCACGTCACTGATGGGAGTACGCTGGGAAGAAACACCCTCAAAAACGAATAAGATACAACTATCCCCACCACCCTCAGGGGGCCTGGAGCGCAGCCCAGAGGGTGACTGGGGTGACTCCCCTTTGCTCTGGAGCCTGGCAGGGCTCAGGTGGAAGGGAGGTCTGACTGGGAGAGGGTCACTGTCTACTGTCCTCCACGTGCACCACACCCTCTTACATCAGAGCTGAACTGCCCCCCTGCCTGCCCTGCCTGGGTTAATGCCACTTCTGTTCCCCCAGGCGGAAGCCCAGGAGTGATTATTGGATCCTGTGGGTCAGGCCCTGTGGCTTTACTCTGCACCTGGTCTCTCCCACCTGACCCTTCCCTTCCCACCTCACTGCCACCTCCCAGTTCCCCTTATCTGCTACGCAGCAGCCTTGGCATGGTCTTCCCTGCAGTCAACTACTTTGCACCTTGACCACCAGGTTCATCGCATCACTTTTAACATGTCACTCCCCACCTCAAAAGCCCCTCTTTGATTATGGGATAAAATCCAGCCTGGGCATTTGGTGCTAGTTACAATCCACCTGGATCTGGCCTTGCTGTTCCTGCCTCGATGTCCCCACCACATGTAGAAATCCTACCAAAGCTTCGAGGCCCAGCTGTAACCCTTCCTCCAAGAGGGGCCCATGGTGCACCCCCTTCTCTGTCATCGCAGCCCTCCACGCTCACTGGTCACTCGGTCCGCATGACGTTTATGGTAGCCCTCCCTGGCCCACAGCTCCTGGAGGGCGGGGCCCCCGATGCCAGCTTGGAAGGGGCAGGGGAGAGAAACTCCCTCCCGTTTAAAGATGAGGAAACTGAGGCGCTGAGTTAGAAAGTGACTCGCTGGGATCAAGCACACATCGAATCAAAGCCGGGGCTCGGATCCTCCAGCCGGGGACACGGCCCTGCCCCGCATTTCCCTGGGCCTCGTACCCCTTGGGTGGTCCATAAACCGCATGAACGGATCAGAGCAACTGAGCTGGCTGTTGAAGTCAGGAAAGGAGAGCCGCGAAGGGAGGGCGCGGAGTCCCCTCCCCTCCCGGCCAGGCCCGGACTCACTTTGCCGAGAGCGTGTTGATGGAGCCGGTGACGAGCATGAGCCCGGCCAGGAACAGCTGGTACTTGGTCCAGGCCATAGCGGCGGATGCCGGGAGCGCGAAACAGGAGCGCGACCTCCGCGCTCGCTGGAGGTAGTAGCCCCCAATTTGGTCACCCCGGGGTCTGGGGGCGAGTGCTTCCGGGCCGGGAGTCACATGACCTGAAAGATCCCGCCCCTTGCCTGCTCACTCCGCCCCCAGGGAGGGCGCGGGAGGGAGCGGGGCGGGCGTCTGCGCTCTCCAGAGCCGGAGCTGGGGGCGCTGGTCCTCACAGAGTGACAGGGTCAAGTCACGGGCCCAGGTCTCCCCACCTGCAAAAGGGGCTGATGGGACGAGGAAGTGAGAATGCATCGTGGATATTAGAGCGTTCTGTAAACCCTTTATAGAGATTGAGCTGAACAATGTCAGAGGCAAACCACGAAGTAGAAACGTCCAGCGTGGGAATCTCCTCTCTACTGGGTACCCAGGGAATTCCCAGGAGGCCTGAGACGTGTCCCTAGAGATCCCAACCCGCGGTGTTGCTCACATCTTACAGAAAAGTGGCGTAAGAATCTAGTTCCTGCTCCTTGGGAAATTGTTTTACAGCAAAAGAAACTAAATTAAGAAAAGCCGGGCTTCCCTGGTGGCGCAGTGGTTAAGAATCCGCCCGCCAATGCAGGAGCCACGGGTTCGAGCCCTGGTCCGGGAAGATCCCACATGCCACGGAGCAACTAAGCTTGTGTGCCACAACTACTGAGCCTGCGCTCTAGAGCCTGCGAGCCACAACTACTGAGCCCGTGTGCCACAACTACTGAAGCCCACGTGGCTAGAGCCCGTGCTCTGCAACAAGAGAAGCCACCACAATGAGAAGCCTGTGCACCACAACAAAGAGTAGCCCCTGCTCGCCGCATCCAGAGAAAAGCCCGCGTGCAGCAACGAAGACACAACACAGCCAAAAATAAAATAAATAAAGTAAATAAAATTAAAAAAAAAAGCCAGGTGATTTGCTTGTGATCAACGCTGGTGAGTGACGGAGTGGGGGTTTGCTTGCACATTCTTCAGTCTCCGCCAAATCCGTGCCTTCCGCTCAGCGCCTCCACCAATCTCACCCCGTTGCTCCTTTCTCCATTCCCCGGATGCTGCTCAGAGCATGGAAGGCAGGAAGACCTCGGTTTGTGCGCAGAGGCTTCCAGCTTTTAAAATCCTGCTCCTAGTTTTCAGCCCCCAGCTGCCCTCTGTCCTCATCTCCAGGCCTGTGTCTGCACGCCATGCCATGCCCGGTCACACCACAGGCTGGAGCACAAGGCCTTCAAGGATCTGCTTCAGACCCAGAGAGCACATTTCCCCGTTATTGCAGATCTTGCTGCTGGAGGTGCAGGGGGTAGGACCTGCCTGCCACCTCCTCCTGCTTGCCCTAAGACCGCCTTGACCTTATGAAAATGACCAGTGTTGACTCAAAAAACTCTCAAGGGGCTGGACCAGGAAGACCTGACAGAGAAGGTGTAGAAGGGAGGTTCTGGACAAAAGTAAGGTAGAAGGGGAAGGGCTATCCCAGAAGAGGCAATGGCAGGGCAACGGCACCGAGGTATGAGCGGGTGTGGAGTGCGTCTGGGAGCCGCAGACCATCCGGGAACTTTCCTACACTGTAGTCTGTCCTTTTCAGTCAGTGGGGGAGTTGAGAGATGCAGAAAGGTTTCTTCTGAGCTTCTTGTCTTCAACACCACTAGTTTCATGTAAAGGAATTACTTCAGTTATCCGAAAATACTGACTTAGATGTTGAGGCCTGTAGAGATGAATGAAACACAGCTTCTGTCCCAAGGGGTAGACCAGCTCGGTCCACAGCAGCTGCGTAGCCCCATCCCTGTCGGAGCCAGTTCCTACAGCACAGTGACACACTCAGCGGGGCTCCGAACTGTTTTCCCCACGTGTCCAAGCCAAGGACACTGTCTTGAAATAAACATTACTAATGATTAGTGGTGTCACCTGCCTGACATGATGTCACAGTCTTTGTGTGTCTCCACAGCCACATCATAAAATAAATTTTAGTTATATCATGATGTTCTGACCATTCATCCAACTGCTATCTTTGGAGCCCAGGAGACAGAAGGATTTATTGGCAAATACACGTGGAGTCCACTAAGTGCCAGGCCTAGAGCCAGGTATGGACCCCCAAAGCCAAGCAGGACAAGGTCTCTGCCCTCAAGGAGTTCGGGATTTTATGGAGGAGAGGAGTGAGCTCACCGGTAACCATGCGGCAGCGTGAGGATGGGTAAGAGGCAGAGGGAGTTGGGAAAGGGACAGATTCCTCAAGAGGGGTGGGAGTAAGGGCATGACAGTGACAATCAGAGCTGTCCTGGATCAGCCACCCCGTCTGTGCCCACCTGTGGAGAAGGCGGTTGCTCCAGGCAGAGACAACCCTGCTGGACGCACGGGAGGTGGTGGCAGCCCCCGCATTGGGGAGTGACCTACACCGAGGTTCCAGCTGTCTGCCAGCCTGGCTAGACTACACTTTGCAGGTGAAAAGTAAGGTTGACATTAGTGTCCCCAGGTAGCAGCAAGGCATGGGGCCTCAGGAGATTGGAATTCTGAGAAAAGTCGAGAGGAAACAGGGTGGATATTGTAGACAAAGAATGTCACTTGCCAATTCAGTAAACAAAGGATGATGGTCATAAAGCCCTCAGCCACTGCAGCCCCCCAGTAGTACGCCCTGAGGGGATTCAGGATGGAGAAAGCAGGATAGGTAGTTAAGGTGCATATCAAAGGAAGAATTTTAACAAGTCCAGATTCTTGCATTGCCCGATACAAAGTAAGCGCTAAAATCTTTACCTTGAGATGTCTGTGTGTGTGCGTGTGCGTGTGCGCGTGTGCGTGTGTGTGATTAGCAGTAATCTTTTGATGTTCAACCACAGGGTTTTTTTTCCAGCAAAAACTCCTCTATATCCGGGCCCCTCCCGTACCTCTTCGGAACAATTCCTCAGAGCCATCTGAGAAGCTGATTCCCGGGCTATAGTCCTCAGTAAGATCATCGAATAAAACATAACTCAGTTTTTAGGTTTTGTGTGTTTTTTTTTTTCAGTCGACAGTATGTTCATACACTGGCTTTGCTTTTATTTTTGAAATTGTTATTTGATGAAATTCAGGGGTAGAGCTTAAGGTGTATTTTGGATACAAATTTGCCTCATAATTTTGGAAGTGCTGATTTCCTGGGCTAAATAACATGTTCCCAAACATATGTTGTTAATATGTTGTACTTGGCCTGGATCTCTGCCCTTCTAAATTTCTGGGGAGATCTGGTGTCATTGAGGATGCTGCCCAGGGAAACCACTGAAGACTTTGGTGGCTGGGGACAGCGGAGACAATGGGTAAGGTGAAGTGGGGCAGGGAGATCTGGGGGCCTCCGGGGCCTCCTCTCTTCCTCTCCGAACCTTTACAAAGTCAAAGGTGGGCCAGCCTTCTTTGGGTGGTGATCTTGTCCATCAGAGGAGCAGTTGTCTTCTAACTGCTCAGTTTTTATTGTCCTGACTAAAGCCTGTAGCTTGCCCAAAGATCACTTGGAGTTATATGAAAGGGAGCAAATTTTCAGCAAAGGGAGGAAATTTACTGACCCTTAGGGGTGCCAGAGCCACAGAATCCTCATGTGTGGAGGGGGCGGTAGGTGGAGATAGGAATTTTTTCATGTACCCCTAAGAGGGCAGAATGTCCAGAAGTGGAATGACATCTGTGCAAGTTGTCCCAGGCTAGGGAGGAGAGGGAGGCTGGGTCTGCCACTTAGAGCAAAGTGACCGGGTTCAGTCACTCAACCATTCAGAGTCCTACTTTCCTATCTATAAAATGGGAACAATACAGTCTCAGCTTTTTGTGCAGAGGGAAGGATGGCAGATGTGGGAGTGCAGCGGAGGTGTGGGGGAAGTTAGTACAGCTGCTCTGAGGTCAGGGCAGGTCTAGCTAAGCAGTGCCGAGAAGGATCTCAGGCTGTGTGTTAAAAAGCACTTCTCAGGATTTTCATAAAAGCATGATACGGGCTTTGGGTCTTTTCTCTCAAAGTCTGGGACACTTTGAACAAAATTGTGTGCTACCTTCAAAGAGCCTCTAATTTCCAGAATCAAATAAAATGCGCCCCTGCAAACTCCTGCATTTGTACTCAAAGCTTACTGACTGCCTGTGGCTTGTCTGAAAGACTGAACATTCTCATAATCAGTTTAATCACATTTTGGATTAGAAGAGTTATTTTACCCTGGGAAGGACAGTGATACATTGAGAGACAGGCCAGGTCAGACATGTTTTGGTTTGAACAAGTTTTTTGCTATACGTCCTTGGGCCATTTCCCTCCTGTGTAGACTGCTCCCCTGCTAGAAGGTGCCCTCCTGATGGGCAGGTAACCAAACCTTAGTCAGGCTCCTGAACCTTCTCCTAGGCCCATCTGTGCACTTTCTTATAAAATCCAGTTTTATCAAGAACCCTGCTAAGTTAGTTTAACCAGAACCTGCCCCCCGCCGCCCACGTCCCCGCTCCATATCTGACCATCTTTGTTATCTGATAGGGTTCCTCACCCTCCACCATCCCCCAGGGGATGTCTGATTACCCTGGCCTGTCTTCAGCAAGAATCCTATTATGTTGGTTTAGCCAAATGCCCCTTTACCCTGATGTATCCTCTTAGTAACTTTCCATCCTCTGACTGCTTCCCACCCCCACCCCCCCGACCTGTTATTAGGCTGTAAATTCCCACTTGCCCATGCTGTATTTGGAATTGAGCCTTGTTCTAGGCTGAGGTGTCTTTCCCCCTATTGTAATTCTCCTGAATGAAATCTGTTTTTATCACTCTAACTAGTGTCCGGCTCTGTTTTTTCTTTGACACAGGACTGGGTATCTAGTTGCCCATCTCTCCCGACAGGGTGGGCATTGCAGGGCAGCCATCTGAGACTGTGGCTGGAAAGAGGAGGGAGGGGTTTGGGAGGAGGAGGGCAGGGTCAAGATCTGGCTCCCTCCTGGGGGACACCCCGGAGACGACAGAACCGGGCCTGACAGGACCTCACAGGGAAGGGAATGTGAATGGTCCATACCGGTGCAGACGGGGTAGATGTTGTTCATGAGC